TCAAGGAGTTTTGCCTTTAGAATAATGTTAATAAATTTTTAAAAAGCCTTATGGTCAACTGAAATTGCTTGCTTTCATTTTAAATTAAGGACTTTTGTTTACATCTGAGATACAGTAATAGGAATTACATGCCTTCGTGCAAAAATAAGACAAAAAAACATGCAAATATATGAAACAAATGTTTGTAAGAAAAAAAAAGTTTTCAGGTCACTAGACATCAGGGTAAAGCAGTCCCTGAAGTAGCTAAGGAATGAAGGCAGGTGATCAAGGTGTAGCAAACTTGTTGAGCAAGCAGCTGTGACCTGTCAGTCACAGAGACCTGGGACTTACAGAACACAGTTCCCAAGCCCTGTGAAGGGCATCAGAGGGGAGGGGGTGATCAAAAAGTGCGACCTTCAGTTCTTCTGGTGTGAAGTCAGGTTTTTGATAGGATGGCCCAGGTGTGACGTCACCCTGAAAAGTGAAGTACATCAAAGATCTCTATCTCAGGGCTACTGCGAGTGCTCAGAAGCCTGCTCTCACCCGGCAGCAATGGACTTCTTTTCCTACCTTCAGTAAATGTAAGACTGGGAAAGATCTCAGTGGCACAGTGCCTGTCTGGCAAGTGCAAGGTCATGAATTTGATTCTTGGTAGAAATAAATAAATAATAAATAAATAAATGTAAAACCTCACTTCCTTCCTCACATGTCTTTCTTTATTCAGGACACTGAGAACCTAGAAAGAGTCTACAGAACCCCAGACTCCTGTAATACCTAAATCAGAATACCTGGCTTAGGGTAATTATCTCTGTTATTACCCTAAATCATCACCTTCTGAGCGTCACAGGCTACAGCCCAGTCACAGAGAAGCTGGACAGAGTCTGCTAAACTCTCTGAAGTGAGCAAATAGAGTCAGGGTAGCTGAAGGGAGACAAACACTGTGAAGACCAGAGGGCACAACCATGATCTACAGGGGTTCTCTCTCAAGAATTCAGCAGATCTCTGATGCATAGTTAAGGAAACCAGCAGGGCTGCAGAGAGATCACCTGGAAGGTCACAGCACGTGCCTGATGTGTGCACAGAACTAACTAAATAGTCCCCGTATCTACCAGTCAGGCAAAACACATAATTCACGGCCTGTCAGTAGAGAAGTCAGGAAAGACATGCCTTAGGAGCAAACAAATATCTCTAGACTGAGCACTGTGTTAGTCAGATTTCTGGCACTGTGACAAAATGCCTGACAATAACAATTTAAAGAAACAAAGGTTTACTTTGGGTCACAGTTTCAGAGATTTTGGCCCATGATTGGCTGGCTCCATTTCTCTTAGATCTGTAGAGAGGTGGAGACAACATGGTGAAAGATGTTGGCAGATGAAAGCTTCTCAGCTCATGGCAGCTGGGAAGCAGAGAGGAAGAGGTGAGTGCAGGACACACGCCCTTGCAGAGCACACCTCCAATGACCTGCTTCACCTCATAGTCTCCACCAGTCACCGATAGTCCATCCAATTACAAATGCACCAACAGGTTACTCTAGTGATAAGACCAGAGCCCTTATGACCCAATCACCTCCCAACAGTCCTATCTCCAAATATTGATACCCTGGGGACCCTGCCTTCAACACACAAGCCTCTGCAGGACAGTCTAGACCCAAACTGTAACAAGCACTCCCTGGTGGCTCCCCAATTATAAAAGCAGGATCCAAGGAGATCAAACTGTTTCATTGTAGCTCAACTGCATCCAGAACCAAATTCAAGGATATTTATCGGACTACAACAAAATAATTGGCACCAAATGGGGTAAATCAAAGATGATCAGATGTGCAAAACAGTAGGAAAACATGGAGCATAATTAAAGGAATAATCGATCAACAGAAACCAGCACAGATGGCAGAAGAAGCAGAGCAGAACATTAAAGAATTGACTCTAACTGCATTTTAATAGGCTTGCAAAGGTAAGTAAAGACCTGAGAGATATAAAAAAGACACAAATAGAACTTCAAGAAATGAAGACTATAATTTTTTGAGATGAAAAATATGCTAGATGGCCTCAACAGTGGATTAGACATTTCACAGTAAAGATTAGTAAACCTAAAGATACAGCAAAAGCACATTCAAATGGAAGCACAAAAACTGAAAATCTTTCCCTCCGTCCTTCTAAAATGCCAGCACTGTCCGTGGGTCTCAGGACAGTCACAATCTGCCTGATTTTTATGCAGCTGGTGTCCCCTCCAAAAGAGACAAAGAAGAGGGATGATGGTTGAAATATTTCTAAATTTTACAAAAACTATAAACCCACAGCTTCAAAGCTCAGTGAAATTCAAGAAACTATACCAAGAGGGCTGGGGATTTAGCTCAGTGGCATAAGTGCGTGCTTGACAAGCCCAAGGTCAAAAGTTTGAACCCTGATACAAGAAAGAAAGAAAGAAAGAAAGAAAGAAAGAAAGAAAGAAAGAAAGAAAGAAAGAAACTGTACCAAGGGATGACAGACTGCTCAAAACCAATAATAAGGGGAAACACTGCATACAGAGGAATAATGCTAAGGATCTCAACAAATGTTTCTTGGAAACAAGGAAAGTAGGAAGACAGTGAAACAACCTTTCCCCAATATTAGAGGGAAAAAGTTCCCTGTAAATCCAGTTCTACACTCACTAAAATCTGTCCCAAACAAGGAAGAGGGAAACATTTTGAGTTATATAATATCTGAAAGAATTCTTCCCCAGCAAACATGTCTCACAAGAAATGTTACAAGTCCTTCAGACAGTTTAAAGCAGATGCCAGATGAGTGTTTGTACCTGCACAAAGGAATAAAAGGACAAGGTGGTAAAAATGTAAGCGATTGTGTGCAGTGTTTTCTTAGCTTTTAAGTTTTAACTCATTTTTCCTTCATCTGTCCCCAAGAGTTCCAATTCTTCATGAAAACCTTCACATAGGTTGAGATCAATCAAACTGCCCTCTACTCATCTCTCCTTCTAATTTAACATTCTCATATTTATTAACTTTTTCTGCCTGAGAACTCATCTTTCTGTAACTTCAGCACTTGTCCTGGATGCCTCCTCTCACCTTCCCCGTCTCTTTGAACTGTAAAGCCAAATGTCCAGAATGAGTGTCACTCATGTCATTAAGTCCCCTGAGCAGCACCTGCTGCAGGGGAAGGCTTTTGGTTGCTTAGGGAAGTTTGCACATCATTCTTGTCCTGCACATTCATTGGTTACACAGGCGTATTATAATTTCAGAGAAAGTCATTTCTAATGTATTTTATTTTAAATGTTTTATCCCAGTGTTTCCCCCAGTACATTGATTAAAAGAACCTTGGAGTGCAATTTGAAAATGATTGATCCCACTCAATATCTTCACATAATAAGTGAGAAACCAAAGTCAAGAGAAGTAAAGGAACTTGCCCAAGATCACACAGGATGGTAACTATCAGAGCAGAGAGGAATCGCTGGGAAGACTTAAGTCTCTCCACTCAGTCCAGCATTCTTTCCTCAGCTTTCATCCAGAAACTTTGGAATTCTTGGAATTTTTCCTCAGAATTGCCGACCACTTTGTCCTGGTTAGCCTTCTGCTACTATAACATATACCTGAAACAGATCGGCTCAAAAGGAAGACAGGGTGATTTTGGCTCACAGTTTCCAAGGTTCCAGGGCAGAATCAGGGGCTTCTGCTACTACTGTGCAGGTCATGTTCCAGAGCATGGTGGAGGCTAACTGTTCACCACAGGGCACCTGGGACAGGCAAAATTGAGACACCAGCAAGGGAACTCAACCTGTGAGCTCCCAACACACCCCTGTAAGTGTCTCCTGGGCATCTGGACTGTAATCGATCTCTAGGTCATGAGTTCCTGCAGGGAGAGCGAGCGCACTGTGGAGCACTGCTGTGCCTTCTCCGGGTGGCAGCTCTGCTTGGAACTGGCAGCTGTCTCCCTGTCACCGCTTCGTGATTTCACCGCTCAGCAAGGAAGACAGCCCTGGCTACGCCTGCAGTGACAGACGTGGTGTGACAGAGCCCCCAGCCACCTACCCCACAAGCCCACTTTCAGCAGGGCTGAGTGAAAGGGGCAGATGTGGAGCCAGACTATTTTGACAGGGATTCACTTCCTCTCCTTCGCCCCACCCCCACCCTACATTTCCCTGTGTTTGGGTGAATTCTTTCTGCTGTCCTTGAAAAGCAAAGAGAAACTGCAAGAAATGACTGTGAGTGGATTCTCAAAGCACCTGGGAGGAAATGCACGAAAGGACCCCTTAGAAGTTTCCGGTAGGAAAAACGGTCCATGATGGGACTTGCGACTGCCCGGCTGCTGTGTGCAGAGCAGCTGGCTGAGCAAAGGGGAGTGGAGTGGTTTTTGAAGAGCTCCCTGTTGCTTATGCTTGATGGTCAGAGACGTCCTCACAAAGAGTTCTTATCCTCCCATTAGGAAGGGAACAAAGCCTAAAGGACACATCTGACATTGAACATGAAGGCCCTACGAATAGATAGCCTGGATCAGAAGGTCAGCGCTGTGGGAATGAGACTGCCTGGAAGCAGAGGGACCCTAGTGGGCTGGGTGGGTGAGAAACCTGTGGTCATAGGAGGAGTAAGACGGCGGGAGCACAAGGGACAGCACTCAACAGAAGCGCATAGGGCTGAGGCCAAGGAAATGGCCAAGGAACTGGCCACAGTGGAGAGGACAACACAGCACTGGGACTGCGGTCCTGTCGCTTTGCCAGCCTCAGTGGAGATCGGTCGCCTGTGTGCCTGGAGCTGACCATGTCTGCAGGTTTCCAGGCACACGGGCTGCCTGCTCAGTTCAGAAAGGGGAGGAGGGTGCTGGTGCCCTCAAAAGCCAGCCAGAGCCCACAGGGACACAAGTGATCACGCCAAACCTCTGGACCACTTTTATATTTGATGGAAGATTCTGCATTGAGAGCCGGCAGTGATGTGGCCACCAAAATAACACCTCATTCACATCTCACCCCTGGTGATGCAGGATCATCATCCCTCCTCTACAGACATGGGAACAAACAAACAGACATCAGCAAGGTCACTAAGCGTAGAGCAGAGAACCAGCACCCAGCTGCAGGGCCTGCTCCAGTAGGCTGCACTGCAAAAGCCCAAGAATAAGAGCTGACTCCTATTCTACAACGCTTGCCCAAACTTGACCTGCATAGGTGCTCAATATGGGTCTGTTAGAGTGGTACAAAAAAATGAGGTTAAATTCCCCAAGTTCTGCCCTGAAGGTGATCTAAAAATAGTTTGTCTGGGGTCACATAGCAAGAATGGATGCACTGATACGACCCCTACCTTCCCCAATTAAATAACTACTGAAGACCTACTGGTTGCCAGGTGGAGCTCATCAGATGGACAGCCAAGTCAATAGGTGACAACAACAGAGGCATTACAGGAACACAGAGCAGGGTGCCCAGTTGAGCACTTGAGAGGAAGGAGGGAGAGGACTAGTTTCTGGGCAGATGACACCTGGTATCTGACAGAGGAGAGGCACCCAAGTCCCAAGTGCTGGAGAAGCCACAGCTGAAGCAGAGACACCTGAGAGGTAACAGTGACCTCTTCCTCCAGCTATGTGTGTCAAGTCTTTGCTGTTTCAGAGAAGAGAGAAGCACAGAGTCCTTGTCCACTGGCCCAAGGCCTCCCTCTTTGAGCCTGAGTTTTAGGAACCACCTGCCATCACCTGGTGGAATATTACCAATTCCAGAGACCAACCAGTTCTGAGCAGCCAGAATCTCAAGACTGCACTGCCTAGGATTGTTGCTAGTGGCAGCTATTTAATCTTTAACTGAACTTACAGAAAATTCAAAATATAGTTTATCCGTCATACTAGCCACATTTCTAGTGTTCAATGACTTCCTGTGGCCAGTGGCCACCTTACAGGATGGTATAGATATAAAACATTTCCTCACTGTAAAAGATCAGCTGGAGTTTGCTGCTAGAGTTCCTTTGCTGTCTGTGGGCAATTTGAACTCTGACCTGAAAGCACATTCATCAGGGGGAAACGACAGAGGTTCTGTGATCATATGAGGTGTCCTCAAAAGATACTGTCAATATTTAAATCTTCAAAATTTATTACAGCTAAAGACACATTCCACTGATCCTCCTCAAAGTACTCCTCCTTACTCAGGACATTGCTCCCGTCATTCTGGCCACTATCTGAAGCAGTCTGGAAGTCTTCTTTTGGGAGTGTCTTTGTGGCTGCCTCTGGTTCCGCATCGACTGAAAAAAGTGCTTTCTGCTGAATATAAATATTACACTGTGTCTTCATCCACCTTACTCAGCACATCTGGCACCACGTGACTTCTGACTCTTCCCCAAAGTCAAATGACCGTGAAAGGGGAAATGTTTGGAATGGATTCAGAGGCAATCAGAAGAGGGCTACTAAAGACAATTAGGAAAGAGGAGCTCCAGAGCTGCTTCAGAGAGGGCAAGAAAAAAGGGATCAGTGTGTTTGAAGCAAGGGGAAGTGTTCTGAGGGGGATTCATGGCAATGTACCTTTTACTGTGATACATCTTTAAAATCTTAATATTCTCTGTGTCTTTGATCACACCTGTACAAAGTACAGACCTTGGTCTATGATCTTTTTCTCTGAAATGATAATCAGAGTTGCTTCTGGCCTCTCCACTCGGATTTGTTCCCAAGGTGATCTTGCCAGAACTCCAGCCTGAGTGAAGGCCTCCTCCTCCTCGTGCACTGGGGGCTCTACCTGCTGGCCTCCCCGCTCCACACTCTGCCTCCCTCTGCACAGAGACGCCTGCTTCTATGGCACACTCCTGCATAGTCAGCTCACAAAGAGGGATGGCTTATTTCAGCTCACAGTTTCAGAGGCTGCAGTTCAGGACTGGGTGGCCCCGTTGCTTTGGGGCCAGTGGCCAGGCAACATAACATGACAAAATTGTGCAGCAGAGTGAAACTACTCACTGCACAGTGGCCAGGAAGCAAAAGAAAGGAGGAGGAGGAGGCTTGGTTCTCACAGGGCAGCCTTCAGAGCTCCACTTAAGCTGCACAAAGACCTCGTCAGGCCCTTCCTCTTGAGATTTCTACCAACTTCCAAAGGTGCCACACTGGGGTCAAGCCTTTAATCATAGGTGCTCCGGGCAGTCCAGGCCCAAATTGTAGCATCTGAAGTCTACTCCTCTGAGGACCCTCAGTGACCAGGCCTGGCCTCAACCTGGAGGAGCTGTGCTCCTGGTATGTAACGGCTTCATGGCCTTCTCAGCAGGAAAGATGGCTGCTCCTGCCTCTAAGCTTAGCTGCCTCAGGACAGTGTGCTCCAGGGCTTGGTGTCACTTCTTGAGGTTTGATCCACATCAAACTGGCCATCTATGGTGGAGAATGAGGTCACTCCTGCATCCCACCTCCTGAAGAAGGCAACTAACACGGAGACGCCACTAACAGCAGGGCTTATCTGTGAATGGTTCTGATGGCCCTACTGTTATTTTGATCAGCCATGTAGTGGGCCTCATGTTACCCTTTCCAACAGGTCCATGAGGAAGGTAGCATGGACTCTGTGCTTCCTGATGAGGAAAATGAGGGTCACTTAGGTTAACAATTGCAAGTAGCCAATGGCGAGGCTGGAATGGGCTCACCTGACTCATGACTTTAACCTGTTTGCTGCTCCAGCCTTTGTCCACAGATAACAACTTAGAGAAGCTCCACATTTGGTACCTTCAGGAGAATGTACTATTTTTTTTTCTTTTTAGAAAATTCAGGAAATGAATATGAATTTACAAACTGTCTTTCCAATGGATGGTCTCTAGACACCTTGATGGGAAGGGATGTGGTACTTTAGAGCAACAGTTTGACTGGTACCTCTCAGCCAGCCTGGGAGGGGCCCTGGACACCACATGGCCACAACCTCGCATACCTGTCCTGACCCAGTGGGAAGAGAGAGATGACGTCACACAGTGTCCCCAAAGGAAGGGAATGTCATTCTGCTCATTTCCTATCCAGGATAACACCCCAGAGTCTAGGCAGGCAGTGGGGGTGGGTAAAGGGAGAATCAATGAAGCAGTCCATGCTTCTTCCAAAAAGAAAAAGAAAAGAAAACAACTGACCCACAGAATGTGAATGACAAAGCCTCTCAGTTCCAGGAAATCAGTTCCAAACAGAAAGCTCTGTTCAGCTTGATTCTTTTGGTTGCCATAGGGAGTTTTTAGAAATAACAAAGCCCCATGTGTCTGGAGTCAACAGAGAATCATCATAATGATTTGCACATATGCAGCATGAAAGTCTACTATGTTGAAACCGAAAATAAATTGAGTATGAGTATGAAAAGCAAAAAGCAAGGGGTCCTGAGAAGACACTGAACCAGACGCAGTGACATTCTCTTGTGAGAGCCAGCTTGTCCAGAGTGCAGGGCTCTGCCCTCCTGCCTGGGGTGTTTTAGGCTAATGACACCCTGCCATGTCCTCCTCCTGTCCTCATGGGCAAGATGCAAGGAAAGAGCTGGCATTTACTCCACACAGACTATAAAGCTTTTGCTTTATAGTATTTCATCCAGCCTTCATATCAGCCACAGGAGACAGGTTTTTTGTTCACATTTTATTCAGGAGGAAATGGGCTTCAAGGAGGGGCACTGCCTTCAGCGCCCACTCAGCTCAGTGTTAGAGCCAGGACTTCCACCCAGATTCCAGGTCTCCCATGCCATGTTCTTCCCTAGGGAATGGGGTGTCCTTGGCTTGCTCCACAGCCTGGCTCTTTAATTCCACTCAACTCCAAAGGCTGGAGTAAAACTGGGCAGACCATTGCTCTCTGAGCCTGTTTCATTTGCCAGAAGATGCTGGTCTCAATCTTGTCTGCAAGTACTTTAATTGTCTGTGGTTTTATCATTCTAAGGGGCTACTGCTGGCCTACACCAGATGATCCCCTTATTAGGCTCTTCCCTTCACAGAGAACAAGGGGACCCCAAGGAATAAGTGAAACATAGCGTACAAGTCATCTTTGCTACAGAAATGGAGGGTTTCCGCTCAGATTCCCGCCATATCTGTTGTGGACTATACTTTTCATCTGTATTTGCATCTGAAGGTGACCACTTTTTAAAAATATTGAACAGATATGAAAAAGATTTGTAAAGTATGTAAAAAAAATAATTATAAGCACTCCCCAATTAACAGTGGTTGGACTATAGAGTTTTTCATCTTTACAATGGTGTGAAAAAGACATGCATTTTGTGGGAAGCGTGCCTTGAAGTTCCCATTTTAATTTCTCCCAGGCCAGGGATACGTGATGCAATAGTCGATCATGACATGGAGTGGCCACAGAGAGCCCCGGGGCCATGGGGGAAACAGCTGGACACCCAGGGCTGCTGGGCCACTCAGCGAGAGTGTTTGGTAGTGAGGTGAATTCACTACAGTTTCAACTTAGCATACCTTCATTTCAGGAAGAGTTTATCGGGGTGTACTCCAGTGTTCTGTACAATCAAATTACACCCACTTCCCAGTTCCAAAGAACATAATCTTCACCTCTCACACTCTCATGTCCCTTCCTATCTCTACCTTGGAGAGACCACCACTGGTCTAATTTGCGTTGTTCATTTGCTTTTCTTCATACCGTACTGCATTTTAATTCAGCACTGAGGATATGGCTTCATGCCAGAATGTGTGCATGGTACGAGTGAGGCCCTGAGTTTTTTTTTTTAAGAGGAAAAAGAGAAAAACACAAAACAAAACAAAGCAGTGTAAGGTTACACATAATACAGAGCTACAAAAAAAACATAACAGTAAGAAATCACCTGTTAATAGATTACATATTATCATCTTGGAAATAGTTGCTCAAATCACAGTATCAAAGAATACAAAGTAGACATTCAAACAGAGAGACTGCAAACAGCTGTGTTCGATGATCCAAAAACATTAATATAGTCAGCTATTTAACACCCCTAAACACACTTGCTGTTATATCCGTTAGAGCTCTTTTTTTTTTCCTCCCTCTCTTTTTTACAACAAAATTTACACATTTTGGATTTTATTACTCCTTAGTTCTTATTACTTTTTTGGGAGGGAGAGAATAAAGTCAAATATGGCAAAACAAAGCTGTAAGTCAAAACCAAGGCTAGACATAGCACATGATGTAGAACAGAGTACAAGGTTATT